GAAGGAAGGAAGGAAGGAAGGAAGGAAGGAAGGAAGATTTTCTGGAGGATTCTTCCACCAGACATAAGTTTATAGAAAAAGAATTTAAAAATAACTTTGCTTAACAGTGTCTCAAAAATTATGATATTTGGCAGGGCGCAGGGGGCTCACACCTGTAATCCTAGCTACTCAGGAGGCTGAGATCTGGGGATCATAGTTCAAAGCCAGCCGAGGCAGGAAAGTCCCTGAGACTCATATTTCCAATAAACCACTAGAAAACTGAAAGTGGCACTGTGGCTCAAGTGGTAGAGTGCTAGCCTTGAGCTGAAGAGATGAGGGACAGCACCCAGGCCCAGAGTTCAAGCCCCACGACTGACAAAGAGAGAGAGAAAGAGAGAGAAAGGAAGGAAAGAAGGAAGGAAGGAAGGAAGGAAGGAAGGAAGGAAGGAAGGAAGGAAGGAAGAAAAAGAAAGAAGGAAAGAAAGAAGGAAAGAAAGAAGGAAGGAAGGAAGGAAAAAAAGATATTTTAAGTATACTCACAACCTCAGGATTACATTCTCAAAAATATTAACGTCATGCCTAGTATGTGCCTTAGGTATGATCATCCACCAGCACCACAAAACAATTTAAATAACTGTCAAAGGAAATGTCAACTTTATCTTTGTCAAGTGTCAAAGATAAAGTCTGGCTAGGTGTAATATAATGGTGTATGCCAGTTAACCCAGCACTGCAGAGGTAGGGGACAGGGAGCATTACTTCAGTACGAAAGTAGGTTCAGTACAGCTAGACACATTATCAATAGGTTCATGCAAGGGTTACTTTTACACTGAGTAGCAAAAAAATCTATGTGCTCAGTTTTTAATACAATAGGTGGTCATAAGTACTGAATAAATAATAAAGAAACAGTTACCCGGGCTGGGAAGGTGGCTCAGTGGTACAGCACTTGCCTTGCATGCATGAGGCTCTGGGTTTGATGCCACAGCACCACATAGGCAAAAAGAAAAAAAGCAGGAAGTGGCATTGTGGCTCAAGTGGTAGAGTGCTAGCCTTGAGCTGAAGAGCTGAGGGACAGCGCCCAGGCCCAGAGTTCAGGCCCCATGACCGGAACAAAATAAAAAGAAAGAAAGAGTTACCCTATTAAGCCATATTGTATATGTTCCTTCACTAATCTTATTCAATACAATATTATTACTTTAAAACTCTACATTTTTACTTTTTTTTGCCAGTCCTGGGGCTTAAACTCAGTGTCTGGGCACTGTCCCTGAGCTTCTTTTTGCTTAGGATAGCATTCTACCACTTAAGCCACAGTGTCACTTCCGGCTTTTGCTGTTTATGTGGTACTGAGGAATCGAACCCAGGGCTTCACGCACGCTAGGCAAGCACTCTTACCAAGCCACATTCCCAACCTGTATGAAATGTTTCTACTGAAGAATTCTATTTTATAATAGTTGACTGTATTAAGACAATTAATTCATTCTTGTTTGTTTGTTTCTGTTTGTTTGTTTGTTTTTGGGTCCAGTCCTGGGGCCTGAACTCTGGGCCTGGGTGCTGTCCCTCAGCTCTTCGGCTCAAGGCTAGCGCTCTACCACTTGAGCCACAGCGCCACTTCCAGCTTTTTTTTTCTTTTTCTTGCTTATGTGGTGCTGGGGAATCGAACCCAGGGCCTCAGGCATGCAAGGCAAGTGCTCTACCACTGAGCCACCTTCCCAGCCCCAATTAATGCATTCTTTAAGAGTACAACTAAGCAACATATTCTATACTATTCCCTCAAATTAGAATAGCAATTTAGAATCCTTTCAGTGTTATCAAAAAATAGTATCTATTTCTATGTTATTCAGAAAAGTCAGAATACATATTCATCAAGAAATTTATTATGAGTGTTGGGAATGTGGCTTAGTGGTAGAGTGCTTGCCTAGCATGCATGAAGCCCTGGGTTTGACTCTTCAGTACAACATAAACAGAAAAGGCTGGAAGTGGCTCTGTGGCTCAAGTGGTAGAGCACTAGCATTGAGCAAAAACAGCTCAGGGACAGTTCCCAGGCCCTGAGTTCAAGCCCCAGGACAAGAAGAAGAAAGAAGGAAGAAGAAAGAAAGAAGAAGGAAGGAGAAGAAGAAGGAAGAAGGAGAAGGAAAAGAACGAGGAGGAGGGAGGAGGGAGGAGGAAGGAGGAAGGAGGGAGGAGGGAGGAGGAGGAGGAAGAAAAGTAGATATATATATACAGGAAGTACTTCTGCAAAAACAGAGAAGGAACAGCAATAATACCAGTATTCAGTCTGAGTAAGTTAGTTTGGAAACATATAGAAAGCAATGTCATGCCCAAATGGGAGGAGATCAGCTACCCAATAAACTGGCAGAAGCCAACTAAGTATTTTCCTTTTTCTAGATTAGTAAGGAGGAAGAGATCGCTGTAGGGGCAGCACAATGCTGGGCTTCTTACACACACTGGGTGATTTACTCATAATGACCCTGC